TGAAAAAAATCTGGAACTCAAAACAACTGTCGATTAACACTAAAATAAGGGTTTTCAATACAAATGTCAAGGTAGATAGATTGTATGGGGTCGAAACTTGGAGAACCATTACAACGACAATCAAAATTGAATAGGCATAAGATGGTTGAGACGATTTGTAGCCTAGGCGGATGACTATGGTGGAGTATCTTTCTCTGAGCTGAATGTTTTGTTTGTGTGATTAGGTGTACCATTTGTCTTCCACCTTGCTTAGCTATTCGTCATCCCATTGGGCAGTTTATCGGTGGTCTGTATATGACACTTGTTGACAGAACATGCTGACAGCACAACCAAAACATCCAGCTCAGAGAATGAAACTCCAACACAAAGAATAGGCATTTATAAACAGTTGTCTATGCAAAATACTTCAGATCCACTAGTCAGATGACATTTACAACAACCCACTGTGACGGAGAACAAATCAGCTACCTGATGAGGAAGAAACTAAGAAAAACGTTGGAGATGGATAGGACACACAAAAACCAACAAACTGCGTAACCAGACAATCTCTAACTTGGAGTCCCTAAGACCAAAGAACACACTGCACCAAGAATCGGAGTTAGAGAATGAATAGAAGAACTTGAGTACAACCAGAGAAAGGAAGCCAAGAACAGAGTAGGTCGGAGACTGCTAGTCACGAGGAGCAATAGGAGTAAGTATATTAGACACTTTGTATATTCCAGTTGAATCCATTTATTGATATTTATTTCGATCATGAAATGAACACTTATAGACTGCCTAATGTCGCTTTAGTAATAAGTAAAACATGACTTCATCTTGATCTGAACGATAAGCTGATCGTATATTTAACTAGATTATCAAGTAACTTGCTATAGATTCAAATGGAAAATAACAGGTTTCTCAAAGTAGTAGATTCGTCGAATGAACTGCCGAATATCCTCTATAATCAATAATTGACTGTATTCACCTGGAGAATAACAACTTCTTTTTCTACCTAAATCATTTTGATTAATTCAACTCAGTTTTATACGGAGTATCAATTTTATCAAGATGATAGATATGCTCTTTGAGGAGTTCAACTAACACAAAACACAAAGTTAAATATTGTCGTCTCCTATAGGTTACTATCAACTATCATCTAACATCTCAATAAGGTATACATAATCTTGACTCAAAATATTGACCATATTGTAACCTAATCATTGGAAGTCGATTAGCACTTAAAAGTACACATGAGATACAACACAAATGACGCGGACAAATCAGTTGTGACTTGAAATCACATTGACTATAATCATTTTTCAATAGTTAACTTATTGTTTTCTAAATTCATTCGATTAATTCAATATTCTATAAATATTTCTGCAGTTATAAGTTTTATTTCGGCGAAAATGTGTCATTTATTCATGTAAAACATTAAACTTGTAAAAATAGATCCATAGTATCAAGTTATTAAACATATCATATCAGTGACATCGTATAAGATCATTAAGACAAATATCAGAATACTAAAACAAATCATCAACTTAATCAGTTGCGGTGGTTTGGACATGTGCTGCGTATGCCTAACCACCGACTGCCTCGACTAGCTACGTTTTGTAGTGTAGCAGTAGGTTAGAAGAAAGTTAGGGGCGGTCAGACCAAAACATGGCACAAATCCACAAAGTCCCAGACAAGTGGATTGAGTCATGTCGCTAGTTTTCCGCGAGATGATAATAATCGATGGTTAGATACCCTGAATGACATGGCTCAAAACCGTTCGCAATGGAGCCGGTGCATTTATTCTTTGTGTTCTCTCAAATCCTAATCTTCTGGATTCTTCAACACCTCCAGTTTTGACTTTATAAACTTTTCTCACTGAATCATACTTCTTGAATAATATCTTCTAATCTTAACCTCTTCGATTACTTCTAATACCTTTACTACCTCTTCTACTATTTGATTTGAATTGACAATTATATCTCTGTGCTGATGTGGTATGGCAACATGAACTGATGTACTTACGTACGAAGTTCTACGTTTCATATGACTGACTGAAAAAAATCAGCAACAATATTGATTATGGTAGAAAAGATCAAAACATAGACGATCTGATTTGAGAAAAGAAAATGAATTTGCAGAATCGAAAGAATGAATAATTTTGAGGAAAAGAGTGAAGGTGTCTGTGCCATTGTCACCAATTCTAAAACAATTCACCTGACGTTTTTGGTTACGATAATTACATAGATTGATCAAATGTACTACCTGTTAAGATTTCCAATTTATAATCAATATTTCTCAAAGTGTATGTTTATTAAATAGAACGAGTGAATTTTAAATCATCAATTATTTTGATTACTTACTCACTTACTTAAGCCTGTTACCCCTCAGGAAGCATAGGTCGTTGACCAGCATTCTACAACCCACTGTGTCATGGACTTCATTTCTAGTTTTGTCCAGTTGCTGTTGATTCTTCTCATGTCTTCCTCTTTTATCTCAAGTTTTGGGGGTTTCAAGTTAAGGCTAGTTTTGTGACTCAGTTGGGTGCTTTCCTCAATGTGTATCCTATCAACTTCAAGCCACACTTCCTGATTCCCTCCTCTGCTGGAATCTGGTTTGTTCTATCCCACACTAAGTTGTTGCTGAAAATGTTTGGTCAACGAACCCGAAGGATTTTGCGTAAACAAACACCTGTATCTTCCGTATTCCCCCAAGATTCCGCCCCAAATAGTAGAACTGTCTTGACATTTGTATTAAGATTTCTGACTTTGGTGTTGGTTGCCAGTTGTGTTGAGTTCCAGATATTGTATACTTGTAGAAATGCAGCCCTAAGTTGGCCGATTCACGCCTTCATATCTGTATCAGATTCACTTTGCTTATAAAAGATGCTGCCCAGATATGTAGAGGAGTTACATCTTTCAAGGTATCCCCATCAAGAGTGATTTAGTTGTTGCATAGTGTGTTGTATCCGAGAATCTCGCTTCTCCCTTTGTGTATGTTGAGAGTTACTGCTGCAGGGGCTGCTGCTACACTGGTCGTATCTTGCATTTCTTGTTGCTAGTAGGATAGACGTGACAGAGCGTCTAAATCGTCCAACTGGTTCGGAGCTGTCAACTGTACCCTGTTTCCTCCAGAGGTTGCTGTCTTAATAATGCAGCCGACTACCAGGAGAAAGGGTGAGAGTAAGCAACCTTACCTGAAACCGATAATTCACTGCAATAACTGAAGTAATCTTTTATACTTTGATTGTTCAACGAGCGCTTTTGGCAATATACTCACGTTTATTTAATGGATAAGTGAAACTTTCATTTAAAAATTAATCATAAGCCCTATCACTCAATGACATGTAAATGTGGAGAAATCTAGATGCTTGGAATGAAATTATTAGTGCTAAAAAATAACACTTCTATGCAACAGTCATCTATATTATAAATCGAAACATGTATACATATACTGCTACTTTAATTTCTTACGAATACCTGTACTTCTTTATTTCATCATGTTTCAATAAATTTATAAATCGACTAGGCAGTAAGTTATGTAATACGTGACCGTTGTAAGTATAATTCAATTCTATCCTTGAGACATGTGTTACTTATACACAACGACCGACTGTCTGGTCGAACTATGTTTTGTGGTGGAGGATTAGGTTGGTAGAAAGCTAAGGGCAGCCAAACCTAAACATGGCGGAAATCCATGAAGTCACACTGACAAGTGGACTGAGTCATGTTTGTAAGTGGTTGGGGCCCGCAAGACGATAGTAACTGATGGTTAGAGAGACTGAAAGATATGGCTCAAAACCGTTCGCAATGGCGCAATCAGTCAGTCAGATGCAACGTAGAACTTCGTACGTAAGTACATCAGTTCATGTTACCTTACCACATCAGCACAGAGATATGATTGTCAATTCAAATCAAATAGTAGAAGAGGTAGTAAAGGTATTACCAGTTATCGGAAAGATAAGGGTTCGAAGATATTATTCAAGAAGTATGATTCAGTGAGGAAAGTTTAGAAAGTAAAAACTAGGGGGGTTGAAGAATCCAGAAGATTAGGATTTGAGAGAACACAAAGAGTAAATGCACCAGCGCCACTGCGAACGGTTTTGAGACATATCATTCAGGGTATCTAACCATCGATTATTATCGTGTCGCGGACCCCAACCAGGTAGTCGACAACTACCGACATGGCTAAGTCCACGTGTCAGTGACTTCATGGATTTGCGCCATGTTTTGGTTTGGCCGCCCCTAACTTTCTTCCAACCTATTCCTACACTACAAAACATAGCTCGTCGAAGCAGTCGGTGTTTAGGCATACGTGAGACATGTCCCAACCATCTCAACTGATGAAGTTTCATTACTTCATCTATTGATCTGCCATTCTTGCCTAGCACCCGTTTCCCAACTATGGCATTGCTTACACGATAGTCCCAAGATAAACGAGCAATGCTTCGGATATGTCTACGATCGAAAAGCAGTACCCTAGGAATATCTTCTACTCTCACTGGCCATGTTTCACAGCCATAAAGTAAGACGGAGCGAACTACTGCACAGTACACTCGTCCTTTAGTCAGCAAACGGATATCTCGACTACGCACTTGGTAATTTAATATATAATAATATTAATAATATTAACTTGGTAATATTAATAATAATAATAATAATACTTTTTCAGATCAATCATTCTAGTCAACAAACACATCAGCTGATTCATGAATATTAAAAAAAAAAAGTACACTATTCAAATTAATCTCAACAATCATCAATTTTTATTGAATAATAATAATGATGATGATGATCATTATTATGATTACTACTTTTTTTTTTCTCTTAAAAAATAATTACACCACACATTCAACACAAAAAGCGTACATTCATTTCCACAAAAAAATAAAGAAAGAAAAGAAACAGAAAAGCGATGCATATTTATTACAATTAAAAAATGTCAATAATCATCATCAATAATGTGAAGAATGCTCTAAGCGATTATGTTCACAAATATTTATCAATATGAATGATTATAATAATAATAATAATAATAATAATAATGATAGAAAAACTCTGAAAAGACACAAACAGACAAGGAGAGAGAGAGAGAATATAGAGAAATCATATAGAAAGAAATCTTTGCTTCTTGTCTTTCTGTTTTATTTTTTTTGTAAAAAAAATTTATAAAACAACTTAAACTAGAAGAAGGAGACACAAAAGCAGAGCATAATAATTTACATGTGTGTGTGTGTGTTCATGTTATCTTGAGTGGAAATATCAACAACAACAACAACATTAAAAAATGTACATTGAATAGTCAGTCAGTCAGTCAGTTATTCGGTCAGTCAGCTAACCAATCAAATCAAAATTCAGTCAGTCAGTGAGTCAGTCAGTTATTCGGTCAGTCAGTTAACCAATCAAAGCAAATCATTGACAACACAAATATAAAATCATTGCAGTAGTATTACAACAATAGATTATTAAATATAAAAATTACTTTGTGTAAAATGAAAACACTACTTACTGACTGATTGACTATTATAGTTAGTTAGTCAGTAGTTGATGTTTTCGAAAACTGATAATTTTAAATAAATGTTATTTTTAAAAAATAAAAAATTAAATAACTAACAGTATAAATCTGAATTACAAATTTTTCTTTTAAAAAAAAAGACATCTATCATATAAATTTACAAGGAAAAGCATTAAAGTCTATATATATATATAATGCGTATGAAGGCAATAAGATTATCGAACCAATATCAATGATGATTTGATGTACTGTGCAATGGAATAAGCAGTTACGATAGTAGGCATCAATTTATTTATTGAAGCAACTTGAACTGGATTCTCATTTGATGAATACATATAGACGGACGATATAAGTAGTATATAAATATATATATATATATACATACATAATACATAGTTTGTAAAATTGAATTCGCATGTCTAAACACTGGATGACTAGAAAAAAGAAAGAAGTTATTAGAAAATTATTTAAACACATATAATTATACATATATGAAATATGATTAACGTGTATAGACAAAACTTTACATTGAATATAAATAATAGAATTAAAAAAATGAAAAGAGGGTTGATTTCATCACCGCATAGATCATCATATCAAAAGTTAACACATGCTCCACAACCAACTCAGTTGTTGAAGGTTTATACTACTAGCTCATCGATCGATTTTCTATCTTTGTCGAGTACCTTATTTCTAAGCCCTATCATTACTGTTAGGATATTCACCAAATATCCTAAGAGTACTATTTTTGGAAGTATAATCCTATTGGTCAAAAATATGGTCATTTTAACTGTCAAAGTCAAATACTTCAATGTTGTCTCTGATTGGTCATCCGGACTGTCAATGTCATTTCAAATGTTCTTTCTTATTGGTCGTACTAAACTGTCAATGTCACAGACTTTGATGCTCTTTTCTATTCGACCTAAATGTATAAATACGCACTATTTGTAAGATTTCATGATTCCGTTTTTTCCTGCCTACCTTTCTTCTGTACTCGACCCAATAAACAACTCCATCCAACTTTGTTGCGTTCTGATATATAGGAGATTTGGAAATACTATTTGGGTCGTACTGGGATATTTGAATTTGGACGCTGCTAGAACTGAATAGCTATACGTAGCAGCATTATGACAATTACTTACTCGATGGTCGAATTATACGCGAACAATGCTTTGAAAACACGAATGACTGAACACTACCAACTTATGAATATCATATCCCACAAGATAGAATAGAGAGAACAGTGAAGTTGTCTTCCTGTTAACAGAGTGATATTTTTCACCTATGCCACAAGTAACGCATGTTGATAAAATTCAATCGAGCTTTATAAAATCTGTGACGAGATTTCGTTAAACACCACAGTCCATCAAGATAGATGAAACTCTCTCAAGAATAAATAAAGTTTAAGATTGAAAATCTAATTCATGTAATACTGACCTAATGATTCAGGAGTATAATGTTTCAGACATGCTTTGTGAGACAACAGTAATCGCCGGTTAGAGACCTTGAATGACATGGTTCAAAATCGTTTGCAATGCTAAAGGTGCATCCAATCTTTGTATCCTCCCAAATTCTAATCTAAATTCTTCATGACCTTCATATTTCTCTTTTCAAATTTATTCTAATAGATTATGCTCCTTGAATAACATCTTCAAATTCTAATCTTTCCGATCAACGCTTATAGTTCTACTACCACTAACACTATGGGACTTAGATCGACAATTGCGTCTCTATGCTAATGTGGTAAGACAACCTAAACTGATGTACTTACGTACGAGGTTCTACGTTGTAAGTGACTGACTCTCTGTGTTATCGTGTTATAGCAACTTGAACGCTGTTGCTGCTAATCAAAAGTGGTATCATAGGAAATGAATCGATCACTGACAGCTCTATTTGGTGTGTTCAGTGTATGACTATCAAAGTAGTCTTTACTAACATGCTTATTAAAGATCGAACTTAGAATTTTAATGGATCAATCATATAGCCAAACTATAAATTGATTGAATTTGGTCATATGAATGATTGGACTTTAACTATGTAATCTGCAGGTCTAATAGAAAAGTATGAAAGTCATTATTTACGCAGAGTAGTGAAAAGTCCTGTGATAGGAAAATATGTAAAACAGATATCATGGATTGAACGAATATAAAAAGCACCATGGCCGTTCATTATTGGTGTAAATTACTGTGTAAATGTAACACATATTGACGGCTAGAATCACTGATAATCATGATCTCAGAAGGTTATAATTATGTATTCAAAATCTCATGCTACTGTTTACTTTGACACGATCTTCTGGTTAGTATAGGAGTAGATTACAAAAACCTATGAGTAATTATTTTGTAGAGTTACTGATTACTTAATCAACCTGCATCCTAAGGTGAACGTTATTAAGTGTAAGAGTCCGTGAGTAATAACTAATGTCATATGTAGATAATCTTTAGTGTTGATTGAATACTACTGATCTAACTGTTATGTGGCTACTGGTTCATGTAACTTGAGACTAAGTGCACTATATTTTGCTCTTAGGTTGTTAGAAGTGGTCGACACGAAATCCTATCCAAGAGTTTTAATGTCAGTTGGCACTCGTTAATAATATGTACTTCGGATCTTGAGGGTATTGATGATTCTTCTAAAATTCGAGTCTACATCACCTAGCATCACAAGTTAAGACACTAAGAATGAGCTATTCCGTTTTGCAACTGACCTTCACAATTGAGTTTTTCAATGTAACTTATTATTACACCTGTTAGACAAGATTTCTCATTTTCATTATTAGGACTGATTCATGCTTATTTTCATCTAAATATGAAAATATTTGATAGAAGTTTACATCAGGGATTGATCTAACTGATTATTCTCACAAATATTCTGGTACGGTCAAGAATAGGGAGATTTTGTTCCCCCAATCCAAATGCTGTCATACGGCCAAGGATGTACAGCCACTACCAAGGAACTCGTACTTTCTCGTGACGAGGGTGGTGTTTACGAAATTGAGGGGACTAAACGCAAATATCAGGTGTTTAAACCGGGTTGGTGGGAACGAAGGGTCAACTTAAGGGAGTTGGGACGGCCATACCACTAACCAACAGTGCACGTGGACTCCAAAGGTCCTGATAGAACCATACGCGTATGAACCTATTGTTGGTCACCGGTTACCATGATACTGAATCTCCTGACGTTGCTCCACTTGTGAGTTAGATTTCTGGGTCAAAGGTCCAAGGGGTGGTCATATAGGAAAACCATTTACTTTGGTTTGGACAGTCGTGTAGTAGTATCCTAACCCACACACAAATTCACTGATTTTTGTGGCGCATATATATTTTGGTGCCACTCCGCACTAATGTTAATGAGTTTAAAAAAAATAAATGATAAAATACTATAAAATGATAATCGTTCCATATCAAGTGGCACTGAAGAGATGCTTCCTCTCAGCATGACACTCTTCACGGATATGTGTATATATACCCACTTATCATAGGGTTTCAAACCGAGGACCACTAAGTAGTAAGTTTGTATCTCAAAAAAAGATAAATTGTAACTGCTTTTCTAACACTTATTATGTACAGATTCCGGTTCAATAGAATTACCGAAAGTGCTTGAATAATATTATTTTAATTAAAAATTTGTTTGACAATTAATTTTAAGGGCACAGTTTTGGAGGTTTGCGTTTTTACACATTTGAAATCATCAATCAATCATTGTTAGACCACCATTAGAAACCTGGAAGCACTGTAAGACGTCCGTCAAGTCCTGGTATGGGACTCATCCGTGGCAGTGCGCATCCACAACTCCTGCTCCTCGCAGGATTCGAACCCGGGAACTCTGGCATTTTAGGCGAACGCCTTACCATCGGACCACTGGGCCAGCATCCAACGGTGTCACTATCTTACTCTGATTCATCTAGGGATTTTGCGCGACCTCACCCATTTGTCTTCGGTAGTTACTGCCTACACCCGACAGGGTTGAACTCCATTGGTTTTAATTTTAATGAATAGATTTATTTATCATGTAAGTTTTATTTAATTTAGCTAATAAAGCGAAAATATTTATTTGTTTGTGTTCATACATATATATTGAGTGGAAAGTTAATTAATTAATAATAATAATAATAATAATAATAATAATAATAATAGTATAATTAGAATTCTTTTAATAAAATATCCCAATGAATAGTAGAAATCTGTATTTCTGTCGTTTCGTGACTCATGATGCAAGTCACTTCTTCAGACAGCGTAAATAATTAACTGAGATAAATTGACTGAAAATATTGATTGGAAAGTTGATATGCGTGCACGTAGACATGTGAGTTCAAAAGGCTTGAACTATTACCAGTTTACTTTAGTCGGAAAACGAGAGCGAGGATTGAAGGTCCGGCGATGCGACATGCTACTCTAATCTGAGTGTCCCAACCCCCCACTGCGTAAAAGAAGACTTGATTTGAAGTAGAACCTGTATTCTACAAGAATCCAGAAAACACGAGGTCCGAGTCCTGAAGAGGATGAGGATCCCGGCCTAAGGATCCGGGTCATAAAACTTCACAGATAATGCATATTTATACAGTTAGGTCGAATAGGAAACAGCATTTTTGAAGTCTGTGACATTGACAGTTAAGACAACCAATAGGAAACAACATTTGTAGTGACATTATTTGGTCAGGACGATCAATTTGGAACAACACTGAAGTACGTGACACACTGACAGTTAGGATGACCAATAGAATTAGACTTACAAAAATAATTCCCTTAGGATATTTGATGAATATCCTAACAATAATAATCATAATAAAATAATTAGAATTCTTGTGTTGTTAAATAAATATCCCAATGAATGTTAGAAGACCTGTATTTCTGTCGTTTCATGACTCGTGATGCAAGCCGCATCTTCACAACGCATAAATAAATAATTAACTAAGATAAATTAACTGCAATAATATTCTTTCTGCCTTGTTTTTCCTTTTCACTAGTTAAAAACATGTAGTAGTAATTTGTTTCGGTTACTTTCTTTATATGCACACACACACACACACACTGAAGAAGTGACTTGTATCACACGAGTCATGAAATGTCAAAACGACAAATTTCTAATTATTTCCTTATTATTATTCTTAATAAAATTCAATTCGTTGCTTTTTTTGAAAAGATTTAAGAGAGAAAAGGAGTTGGAAAGGAACTTAATCACACATATATATGTATATAATGGTACATAAATTAAGTAAAACTAGTACACTGATGAATAAATAAGTAAATAAAAGTACATTTTATATTCAATGCACACAACACTACGTTTGGTTTCTTCATAGTGTGGTGCGAGCTACTTATAAGTAGTATATGACGTGAGTGTCAACGTAATTTCTGGCAGCAGAAGATGGGGGAAGATCAAGAAAGGAAGAGTTAGAATACAATGGAATTTGTATGAAACGCATCATGAATAGTGACAATGGATTGATGTTTTGCAACAGGAACAGTCCAGTTCGATATGATGAACTGATATTTTGCAAATTAACAATTTACGATATGGTTTTCCTATTTTACTGAGTAACTCTGTAATTTTCGTTAAATACGATTCGGTTGCCCCACCTGTGTTCTCGTTCACTACATTTGGTGTCGCTGCCTGCTCGAAGGAAGGAGCTCCCGTGGCCGAAGGAGTTGCAGGACGGAGATTTGTGGAGCTTCCTGGAGGAGTTTGAGGCCGCGGTGGAGCTGGTGGGTGTGAAGGGGCCCGGGGCGGAGTTGGCGGTGCTGGGGATGCTGCGGGGAGGTGAGGCGAAGGCGGTATACGACAGCCTGGACGGTGCCGCCGGGAAGACGGCGTGAGAGACGGTCACCGGGCGGCGACATCTTTTTACTTTGTATTTTCAAGAGATCAAATAATTGATTAATCATCATCATCATTTTGGAACGTGTGATTTTCTTTTAATAATAGCGATGCTGACCTAAACTAAATTTTTCAGACGGTGGAGAAAAAATTTTTAGTTCTGATGGTGGAACTGTTTGATTGTGGTGCTTTTATTATTCTACCGAACAACACTATCAACACAGATTTCAAGTAGAAGTGAAATATTTGAATTTGCCCGCACATGACGAACAGAAAAATTATAGATAAATTGAAGGTCTCTCAACAGCATTGTATTGTTGAGGACGTTAGATCCCCAGAACTCGCTTGGGAAATGTCTTATTTTGGATTTCACGTTTCCGAGCATGGGCTAATCACTTGACCTTGGGATTTCATTTCCCACCAGGAAAATCCATGGCTGTGATTGGCTGCTGTGCATTTAAGTGTGTTATTTTCGTAACTGTCCCAAGGACGTATCTATGATGTATAAATAAACGAGAGTTGTGCGCTTGATTGTACTGTGATTGTTGGGTGTTTGTAGAATATACTTTCTACGCTTACAAAGTCTTCTGTTTTGCAATTTAGGATTCAAGGTAGCCTACCTGGACGCTGGTTCATTGTCTCGTTCGCGTTTACCGACTAAGGTGAACTCGTAATAGCTTCACGCGTAACCTAGGGACGAACATAACATGTATGTAGAGAAATTTCAATATTTCACTTCAACCTGAATTTTGCGCTGATGATATTGTTAGGAAGAGCGAAAGGAATCGCCACAATCGAACCTTTCATATCATAGGACTAAAACCTAACAGAAAAAAAAACTAAACTTTCTGCACACTTGAGACCTGAAGACAAAAAAGCTGTTCAATTCTCCGCAGCATTCAAATGCAACTTAATTAAGATCAGTTAGGAATAATACCATTATGGAATTCAACAATCTCCATAAACTCTCGTTATGATAACAACGATAAGAAATAGACGTTTTGATTCAATCAAAAGTACAAACAATTATTTTAAGTTGCGTATACTACTAATAATAATAGTAATATTGAGGAGAAAAATATAAAATAAATGAGAATAATCACTTTCAAACTATGCAGTTGAGAGTGATGCAAGTTCAAATCTCGTGATTATCACTGATAATAAAATAACAGTTAAGCATCTGAGTTGACTGACCAATGAATGAATGACCTAAAACTAACTACTGGTTATTAATGAGACTAACCGTAATGTATAAAAACTGTCAAATTAAGTGACCTAGCTCAGAATCATGCAGGATTACATATACATTATACTGATTTGGAGTTAAATAAGATTGTGTATTGACCACCTCTAAATACTTACTTAACATTTGAACAATAGTGCATGTGATGTTGATGCGTTTAAATTAATGGTCGTATAGCAACTAAAATAATAAAAAGCTTACACCAACACCAAAAGATTAAATAGATACACGTGAGATCATTGGTCACTACTTCTTAATGATCAATCAATTGTTGTAGACAGTATATTTTATGAGATGGTGAAGAAAATGTGTAGCTCAACAAGATGTTGTTCAGAAGAACAATGAAAGCTCCACAACCAAAACATCCAGCTTAGAGAACGAAACACCACAACAGTATATTTTATTCATGAAACTCACACAAAACAAGAGTTATTTTGAGAGGATTCAAACAAAATGAAGAAACAACCACTAAATGCTTATTTCTACTTATTGCCGTATGTCTTATTTGATTATGTTTGATTTCATCACCTCAAAGAAAGTACCAATATCCAAATGATTCAAAAATAATTACATCACGTTTTTGAAGAGAGAATTTTTAGTAAATAAATATTGACATTATTACTCTAAAAAAAATAACGACAGGAAGTGTAAACATTAGATGGTATGATGAATTTGTAATTTGTGAGTAAATATGATGTAGTAGTATATTTGGTGAAATTATCGATTGTATTCATTTTAATAAAGTTAAAGAATGATTTAACACCGCCTGCCTTACATTCCATACATAAAGGTGTCCAAATTGCAGCTACCTAAGTCCCGAGTTCGAATCCCACTTCGGTTTTAGGAATAGAAGGATGCGCAATTAACCAAGTACTTGCTGAATGTGTTATTTACACTGGAATTGATGAATTAAGCAGAACTAGTAACGATCAAAATGATAAACAGACCAATGTCGATCGATTATTAAAAACTTACTTCATCTTGACGAATAATTGGGAGTTGTGGTGGTGATTCAGAGAGATGAGATGATCGATCATATGAAGGATTGTGATGCAAAGCATTGATATTCTGAAATTAAAAATATCATTATTATTATTATTATTATTATTATTATTATTATTATTATTATTATTAAGATGATCAGATTTAATGAGTATTGAATGTTGAGGAAACAACTGAAAAACTAGCGACTTCTGGTTGTTCGCTTTTCAATTAAAAAAAGTAATTTCAATAACCTAAGTTAATTATGTCATTAAACGTTTAATTTGTATTTTGTAAAAAAAAATATTCCTTAATTACTCAATCACACGAACACACACACACACACACGAGTTCTGATTGCATTGGATTTAATCATGAAACTAAATAAAATAATGAAGTGGAGATATAAGGCAATAGAAGAAATAGGCGTTGAGTATAAACAGTGTAAATAACTTGAATGTTGGTATTATTATTAACCAAGTTGTCGGTGAATACAATTTTTTATTTAAATCAATGAAGAATTTAAAAACTTGAAATCTTAAAGGGAAAAACAAAAATTCAATATATGTATGTCATCAATGTGAATGATTTTTGATCTAGGCTAACTGTCATAATTCTCTCTCTTCATTACACAACCCAACTATTCCTAATCCTTCTTAGTATTCTTCGGACAGCAATTCACTCGAGACGTTCTGCCCGAATCTAAACACGGTTGAACAGGAAATAGAGATTATATTTCAATAACAAGGTTAGATGGAAGACAGAAGCTCTATAGGAAAATGACGTTAGTATACTTATAGTTTTCTTACATGAGAAGATTCTAGTGTGGTGTGTGCTACTTATACGAACGATATAAGTAGTATAAGAAGGGACGTGAAAGAAGAACTCGCACGGTCACAAGAGGAAACCGGAAAGCAAATGGAGCAAAAGCAAGAAGTAAATGGAGTAACGACAGGAAGGAAAGGAAGCAACAGCAGGAATGGAAGAAGGCTGGAGCGTTGGAAGTCAGGACTCAAAGATGGTGTGCAAATAGAGTGTTCAATGTAATGTTTCCGTTCGTTTTTAATTGACTAAGAGTGTAAATTTGCTAAATACAATCTGAAATCATTAATCAATCATCATTGTTAGACCAACATTAGAAATCTGGAAGCACTGCAAGACGGCCGTTTCGTCCTAGCATGGGACTCCTCAGTAGTGCGCATCCACGACTCCTGCTCCTCGCAGGATTCCAATCCGGGACCTTCGGCATTGAAGGCGAACGCCTTACCATCGGACCACTGGGCCGGCATCCAACGGTGTTAGTGTCTAACTCCGATGGATCTAGGGATTTTGCGCGACCTCACTCATTTGTCTTCGGTAGTTACTGCCTACACCTGACAGGGTTGAACTCCACTGGTTCCATCTTCTCACTAGAACTCCGAGAATTTCCTCACGAAGCTAGTCACTAGTGAGCACTGTTACGATATATTGGGGCACAGTTTTGGAGGTTTGCGTTTTTACACATTTGAAATCAGTCTTCTCACTAGAATCTTTCCTGATTACCGGCTAGCGCTGATTGGATACGAAAGAGCCAATCAGCGTGTAACAACGCAATCATGCTTTCTTCATTCAACCAATATCCCACTAACACTAACCATAGTCTTTAACAATTAGGTTAAAATAATCATATTGAAATGCAAACAGAATAACACAGTGTGTACTGTTGAGATTGAAAAGTTTGTTGTTGTTGTTGTTGTTGTTGTTGTGAATAGACTTTGAATTTCAGCTATGCATAATGACACGCACACACACACACACAAAAAGAAAACCATAATAATATTTTATTTCAGAATTGTTCTTATTAAAAGCCTCCAATGAATTAATTACAAACCGACGCCATAAAAAAATTTTAATTCATTTCAATGGTTTTATACACAACCAATAAATTTTAACACTTTGTATCTCACTCTCTCTTTGTAAAAAAACGTTTATTTATTGATAAGATGGTATGTATATTGATATATCAATGTGTGAATCACATGTCAATGAGATGATTATCTTATAAAAGTACAAAGGATTAAAATTGTGTGATGGTTTTGATCAAAATCTTTAGTCACGATCACACTGAGAACTGTATTCATGAGTATGAGAATATGTAAATTTCCAGAATATTGGTTGATGTAATTTTATACTCTACGGAAAGAATAGTTGAATTGATAAGTACGGTAGAAAGTAACTAGCCTAGTGGTAGTAGTAGTGGTGTGGTGCGAGCTACTTATAAGTAGTATATGGCGTGAGTGTCAACGTAATGTCTGGCAGCAGAAGAAAGGGGAAAATCAAGAAAGGAAGAGTGAGAAAACAATGGAATTTGTATGAAACGCATGAATAGTGACAATGGATTGATGTTGTTTGCAACAGGAACAGTCCAGTTCGATATGATGGATTGACATTTTGCAAATAAACGATTTACGATATGGTTTTCCTATTTTACTAAGTAACTCTGTAATTTTCGTTAAATACAATTCGGTTGCCCTCACCTGTGTTCGCCTTCACTACACTAGGAGTTTGTTCAATGCGGACAAATTTCATGAGATAAGTAATCGATGTGTCACCACAGTCTAAACCCTTTGAAAATCAGAAGATATAAGCCATTAATTAATTTTATAACCTAAATCATATTTCCTGTTTGATGTGGTTTAGTGACGTTGAGAAGTTATTCTTTTAACCAAAAAGTGATTTAATCAGTCAATCAGTAGTAAGTAAATCCTTCTGTAGCGACTATGGGGCTACTTCCGGATAAAAGAGGAGCGTTGGGCGTAGGATAGACGAATCATCCAGTAGAAAACTAACTCGCTAAAAAATGCTAACCAGTAGTAAGTAACATAGAACCTGACGTAGGTTTAAATTGCTATACTACATCAGAAAAGCGGGATAAAATTATCACGACAAAGGCCTGAGTAGTAGAAGTAGTAAGAGTATTAGTTGCAGTAAAAAACACTAGGCATAAACAACATATTGTAACACAATTGTTACGCATGCACGTAAACACATCAATTTGATCGGCTTGAACGATTGCGAGTTTACCTAAGTCGGAAAACCAGAGTGAGGATCGAGGATCCGGCGACACGACATGCTACTCTACATCCAATTGTTTCAACCCCCCATTGAATAAAAGAAGACTTGATATGAAGTAGTACGTGTATTCTACAAACATCCAGAAAGTAAGACGTCCGAGTCCAGAAAAGTGTTGGGGATGTTAGATCCCCGAAATTCGCTTGATAATGCCGTATTTTGGTTTTCACGTTTCGCCAGCATGGGCTGATCAGATGACTTTGAGATTTCAAATCCCACCAGGAAAATCCATGGCTGTGATTGGCTGCTGTGTATTTTAGTATGCTATTTTCTTAACTGTCTCAAGGACGTTCCTATGTTGTATAAATAAACGAGAGTTGTATGCTTGATTGTACTGTGATTGCTGGGTGTTTGTAGAATATACTTTCTACGCTTACAAAGCCTTCTATTCGATTTTGGGTATTCAAGGTAGCCTCCCTGGAAGCTGGTACAAGTCTCGTTCGCGTTTATTGACTAAGGTAAACTCGTAATAGCCTCAAGCATACTAAGTGACGAACTTATCAAAAAGAACCAGGATCCCGGACTAGGGATCCGAGTCCGGTCATAAAACGTTACAGATAATGCGTATTTATACAGTTAGGTCGAATAGTAAACAAAATTTGAAGCGACATTGATAGTTAGGACAACCAACGGGAAACAGCATTGAAGTACGTAACATTGATAGCTAGGACGATCATAACATTGACCAATAGGAATCGACCAATAGAATTTATACTTACAAAATGATTCTTCGTATGACATTTGGTGAATATCCTAACAACAATGTTTCCAACAATTGGTCCTAATAATCTAGTGAACATGAATCACGTAGCCTAAAACCTATTAACATAGCTCAGTCCAACAGTCAATGATTTCATAGACCGGTTTGATATCATTGTTTAACCAACTCTACCGGTTTTTATCCACTATATATCTATCTACCAAACATAGGCTATCAAGGTAGGAGGACATGGTTGATCTTTAACATAGTACTTTTGTGGTGTGAGCTACTTATAAGTAGTATATGACGTAAGTTTCAACGTAATGTCTGGCAGCAGAAGATGGGGGAAGATCAAGAGAAAGGAAGAGTTAGAAAACAATGGAATTTGTATGAAACGCATCATGAATAGTGACAATGGATTGATGTTGTTTGCAACAGGAACAGTCCAGTTCGATATGATGGATTGATATTTTGCAAATAAACGATTTACGATATGGTTTTCCAATTTTACTGAGTAACTCTGTAATTTTCGTTAAATACAATTCGGTTGCCCTCACCTGTGTTCTCGTTCACTACACTTTGCACTTCATCTCAATAATGATTACTCAATGATTACAACATACTCAAATTAGAAAAAATAACGATACGAAGATATTGAGTTCCTTTTTCTGTTCTATAGGTCATAATTATTCTATATTAAGTACAAAAATACTACTAAATAAATAGATAGATAAATATTCTCATTTATATTTCACATTTAGATTAAGTAAACAAAAAAAAATAAACTTCACATTATTATTTTTTGTAGTACAATTTAAAAAAATCAACGTGAACTTTTCTCTTATCTTTTTCAGTCATTCCATCACAACATATGACTGACTTCATATAAGTAAGTCTGTATACAAACACACACACACACACACCATATGATCAAAGATCACCCACCACCTTATTAAATTTCATTGAAATTCATGAATCGATTAAGTCTTGTTAGATAGATTGATAGATAGATGACTATGATTATTAGAGAAATGTGGAAGCAGTAGTGGATAGCCCCATATCGTTCCTGATATGAATGTGAACTCTGTACTAATATAATGAAAATCTTATACTAGGGGGGGGGATGAAATGATTTTCTTTCACAATGCATTCAAATTTCTAATGGTTGGTGATCTCTAACAATGATCAAATCGATTCATGAATTTCAATAAAGTAAGTGAACAATTGTGGTGGTGTTTTGTTCTCTGAGCTGGTTGTTTTGGTTGTGGAGCTTTCA